TCTATTTTGTCTATAGATATCGATTGTGATTATTATAACTGATTAAGACTGCAAAGCAAACGAGGATCAGATTGCGCCTGGTCTATTCTTGTTACATATCTTGCCCTGTCCCATGCAACAAATTTTTTCGACTTCTTGTTTCAACGCTGATCTTTTTTGTCTATCGCAAAAATCGGAAAAATATGAGACGTGCTGAAAGTCTTGCTATCTTTCCAATTTCTATTCTATTTAAAACAGGAAAATAATAACGAAAGTCCAATGGATGCCCGAAAAAGTGTCGCTTAACGCGTCGTTCTTGTTTATTCAGTCAGATGTTTACTCCCAGTGTCTCGTTTCTTTCAAACTATTGGTTCAGTGCGTATCATGGTATTGAATTTCTATCTTCTCCTATCATATAATTGGATGCATAGCCTTCAAATCTAAGTGACAAACTACCTGTCATCGTAGTCGTTGTTGTGGATGTGCTGATCGTTGATGTGGATGCTGTTGATGTTGTCGACATGGCTGTTGTAGTGGTTGTTGCGGTTGTTGCTAAAATATTCGAACTGTTTGTTATATATAATTAACTGTATGTTGTGTATAAAGCACTGCTCTCAAACTTGAAAAAGATAAGTGAGTCATTTTAGTGTTTGAGGGGTCTCACTCTATTAGTAAGAGTTTTATTCAATATCAAAGTCACTGAGGAAAAATCGCTGATAAGAAACATGCGCTCAACAGTACTAAGCATTTTATCAGTTATTGCACAAATAATTGAATCAAGAGCGTCTATTAAGGAAAACAACTATTACTCTATGTCCTACGAACTTGTTTGCCCAATGAATTCAGAGAGCTTCTTTTTTCAATTACTATGCTATTGGAATTCATTTTCTTCTCATTGCATTAGTTTCTTTCGTCATGTATATTATCTAATGTGCATAAGAAGAACGATTACAATCACTTCTTGCAAACACTTGCTCTTAATTTCAGTACTTTTTTTTGTTTGTATTGAACATGGCGTATCGATTAGGTGCTTCTCTTTAAGATTTTTGATTGTACAAAATTCAATCTTCTCGAAAATTTTTCGCAAGAAATGACACACAGTTGCGGCAAGGAGGAAAACACAAAGTCTTGCTATTTTAAGAATGAGAGCTTGATTTAGTTTTCAAAAGTTTCGAGCTATGTGGGCCAATATTATCTAATACATGCACAGAGTCTCGAACAGCAATGATGATTTTCTAATGACACATTTACTTTTTAACTGTGTACCCAGAATACACGAAAATTTGTAATTCGTCAATGAAAATTGATCAAAATTTCTAATTTAAGAACGGCATCCTGTCATTTTCTCGCTTTTAATATGTCTCAACCGAGAAAATATGGGAACTTTTCGAGTCTCAGGAAACGAAGATCGATGTTTGTGTCATATAAATACAAACTCAATGAAGATTTGTTCGAACTTCCAAGAAAGGATCATATCTCACCTATTTCTGTTGTTGCGATCATTGTTTTCGGTATAGCCAAAATGCTAACAGTGATTACAACAATGACAGCACTAAGAAGAAGAGCAATGAGTACAAAAGCAAGTGCACACTACCCTGATCACTAGCAACAAAAGTGTTTAGAGTTTCTATACAAAAAGAAAGTAACAGATTATTTTTAAGTGAAAAAACAGAAATACTCACTTTATATTTGAGTTGCTATTTTTCGTTTCTTTTTCAGATTTGGAATCTAGCATTTGAATAGGTTGTTGAGTGATGATATTCTAAAGAAAATTGTTGATTACAATGCGACTTACTTATTAGATGATACCTGATCATGACCATCTTTGGATAATCCAAATATGTTTTTTTTTTCTGAATATCCTCTGTAATTCTGTTCTTGGCTATTATGTATTTTCCCTCTTTCAATTGTTGAATAATTGATTGGTTGTGTTGAAGTTGCATGGAAATCACCGTTGTGCCAAGAATTCTGAATCAGTTATCACAGCAGGAATAATTGAGTAGAAAGATCACAATTTATCTTTATGGAAAACATTTATAATTTTTACTTATTCTCAAAGTTTGCTTTTCTTATACGAGTAAAGCAGCTTCATCCAATTTCAGAAGAATAGCACTGAATGCTTTCTCCTTTATGTAAATATATCATCTTTGATTATTTGAGTGATCAACTAAAGGATCTTCTCTCGGAACAGAAAAATACTGCTGTGTAAACTACCGCCTTCATCTAATTGATTCTCACTTGTGGTTGTGATTGATACAACCACAGGTTTGTACTAACACTGACAGGACGCAGCTCATTCCTGGACCATGAAGATGAACTTTGAATAAGATATGGTTGGTTTGTTTGCATTGTTGACGATCGTTCAGAATAGTTGAAGACTGTTTAGATAAAAACAAACGAAAATGCAAGACAACTGAAGTTTTGAAATATCTAACCAAGAATGAATTGTCGTTCGACTCGTTGTCTATAGGTTGAGTTCCTTTCGGTGATCGAATAGCTTGATGAATGACAATGCTTGATTTTGCCTCTGCCGGTCGCCCATTAGCTACCAGTGTATCACGATGACGTTGAGATTTCGTGGTACGTAGTACAGATGGTTGAGAACGCGAAACATCGCCCTTGACTACAGTTTGGATCGAATTTGAATCTGCATTAATGACTGCTCAGCTAAAGCAATGTTGTATGTGCCGTAAGAGAAATAAGTATGGCTGTTCGGAAGAAGTGACGATTGTCTGCGGCCTCCGTTCAAATATCGCATATATAAACCAAACTGTCAATAGTTTAAGCTATAGAGAGAATATAGGTATTCTGCGCACATATGCGAAAGCCTATATGTGTCTTACGAAGCCGTCATCGCTAGAGCATCACTTAGTGGAGTTCCATTTTAACGACAGTTTTTTAACACTTAATTACATGCACAGTTTCTTTTTTTTTTTACTTCGACGATTTAAGTGAGTTTGGCAATCGAATCGAAAAAATTCAAATATTAGTTAACAAAGCTAACACAAACACCAAACAGCTCCACTAGATGTGAATTAACTAGTACAGTAAGTGGACCTCGTCGAATTGACTTCACTAACAAGAGCAATCACTATTTGAAAGTAGTCTTCAACATATCAAATACTTTGAAAGTAAGCAACGTAGCTTTCAATGCATTGTACCTTCTCACCATTCATCAAAAACAAGTCGCAAAGAGTAGCAAACGCTAGAATACTAGGATTAAAGTTACTGCAGTACCATCGATTAAGTATAAATAGTTAATATTTGTTTAATTACGAGTATACTGATAGGAAACAGAAAGTTGCGTAGAAACTATTGCACGCTAGGAGACTTCGTCGTTCAGACAGTTGCGCGTGATGTATAAAGTAGAGAGTAGTTATAATTCCAACAACCTCAATAATGATGTTATGAGAGGGTGGGGGTGAATGTTAGTATCGGTGGATACGACTTTGAGATTGAATGTGAGTGTATGCTTTTTCTTCAGCTATGTTCATATCCACACGCACACCCACCTTCACACCCTACCCTTGTATGGACTGAGACAAGACTAATTTGTGTCTCTTCTACTTTCTGATGTTTTGTTACAGTTTTTTAGGCTGATTGCTCCATATTTGAATGTAGATGTATCCTGTTGAGGTGTCAACCGAAACCTGGGTGATTGGCTATGTTGATTTCAAAGACGCAGTTATTATTAACTGCAAACTCACTCTTTAAAGCTCTTCTAGAGGGATGTGTTAGTCATAGGCGCTTTGATTGCATTCAATGTAGCATGTTTCAATTTATTTACTTTCTCAAATGAAATAAACATGCTCGTAAGCAATCATATGGGAACTTGTCATTATTCCTATCAAGTTATTCTACAAATCTCACACTAGAATTAGATATCAAAAGTTTTCTTTAACAAGAGTGTGGGTGTGGTTGAAGATAACATTAACAGTCACATCCATATCCACAGTGGTATTGGGAAAATGAAGTGGTTTGAAAAAGTTCTTAAGAAAAAAGGTATTGCTGATAAATAACGTGCGTGATCATTTTTTATACACACTTTTTGAATAACTTTAGTTATCATTCTAATAATAATAATAATATATAAAAATCATTAATATTGTTTCCTGTTGAATTCAGTATTGAAACTTATTTAACTCGTTTTTTTTCAAAAGCTGAATTTGTTAATCAAGGGTATGAGAAGAAGTTTTAAGGTTTTATGCAGTAATGAAAGAAAAGAAAATTGTGACTTACATCAGAAGACATTCAATTTGTTTAATAGAAAAATCGTAACTATGAAATAAGTTTTAATTTTTGAATCAAATTACTATCGTTTAGCTTTCGATAATGTACATTCTGTTTTTCAAACACGATTTAATTTTTATGCAAAGATTGAGTCATTTTATATGAATGTTAATATTAACGGTCGAATGATTTGTAAATACTTAAGAATGGTTCATTTCTTGTCTTGGCTTTTGTATTGATCAAAAAATTTTCATGTGCATGAGATTACTTTTCTTATTTAATACTCAACTCTTCGATCCTTTGCCAAATAATATATATAAACTTCCCATTTGCATACAGCTTTGCGCTAATCGATGTATATAGTCTGAAGAAAAATCCAGATGAATGATTTACAAAAAAACATTTATTATAATATGTCGACATACATTTTATACCTGTGTAAAACATACATAAGATATTGGTACTCACATTGCAAAAAAAAGAATACATCCTTTAGTTGAAATATCGCTAAAGATTGACTGTAATATAAGAGATTATGTGAACAATTTATTGCTGTTCAGATAAAGATTATTTAAATGTTTAGGACTTGTTCATTATCGTGTGGTATCTGTTTCATCAACTGATTGGTTGGGCATTGCAATGTTGAATCATGCATTCGTCTATTGTATAATCTAATATGTTTTGTAAGCTTTCGATGAATGAATTGAATATTGTTAGAAATGTATTTTATAATTAAAGACAAAAGAAACAGTCTTCAAAATGAATTTATTTTTCGGAATATTCTTTTATAGATGCAATCTAGGATAGTTGATAAAATTCGTTCGAGTTTAGAAACTGCTAGTATACAGATACCTCGGAGATATAGTCAATCAAAAAATGATATGTAAGTATTAGTTTAATTTTACTAAAATAATTCAAATATATTTTTGATAGATCAAATAAATATAGACGAGATAAAATTTTGGCATTGGTTTTGGCTGGTGGTGCAGGTGGTCGTCTCAATGTTCTTACTGAACAACGAGCTAAACCAGTTGTTCCTTTTGGTGGAGTATTTCGTTTAATTGATTTTCCTTTGAGTAATTGTTGTCACTCACGTTTACCTCATGTTTGGCTTGTCGAACAATATGAAGTTCATAAACTTAATGAGTATTTAGCTAATGGACGTCCATGGGATATGGATAGAACTTATGGAGGTCTTCAAGTGTTACCACCTTTTGAAATCTATGATAAGAGCAAAAGAAATGATGATAAAGATGATCAAAGTAAAAGTCAAGATAGCAATAAAAATCAGGGTAAGGCATATTTTTAACTTTACCTTTCGTTACTATTGTGTGTTCAAGTAGATCCACTTTAAACTTTTTCGTCTAGTATTATATAAACATTTTTTCTTTCCGATCATTCTTCTTCTGTAATATCTAGTCTTTAGTAGGTGTATAATATTCTTACCAGTAGTCATAAATCTTTCGTCTTACTAAAGCTATTATCTGTTGTCTTGCAATTGTTTTTTCCAAATAGATTCGCTGTAAGTCGTTTTTACGTTCATTATTCATAGTGACGAATTATATGCTTTGTACAGTGTGAATTGATGCCTTGTTTCTTTTTTGTCAAAACTTCATTAAACCGTTTTAATTCAAGTGTTTGTAAAAATGTAGGATAAACTGACAAAGGGTAACTTACCAGACATGTAAAGAAAAGAACTAGAAAAGATCCTACCTTCATCAAAGAAAATAAGATAATATCAACTCCATTATTGTGACAAAAAAACTTCAGTTTCAAAGTTTTTAAATTGAGGAACAAAAGGAAAGGATAAAAAGAAAAATCATTTTAAAGCAAAAACATCTCTTCCTTCTATCTATAGAAAATTGAATATATGGGCAGATTAGCCTATTTTTACCGTTTTTAGCTAAAGCGGTCGAATCGATGATTTTTTTTCCGTAAAGTAGACGCGTAAAATTGTATTAAAAGAGTATTTAGAGGTCTATAGTACATAAACGTATAGCTTAAATAAAACAAAAATAATGTTCTTTTGTGATTTTCTACGGATGGGTTCAAGCGGATCCCAGAACAGTAACGAAGGATTAATCGATTATGATCGGATTTTCAAAAAATAATAACTTAGATTAGTAATTGTGTATGAGATTCTATTTTACGTAAGACTACGCGATACGATACTAGATATTATTCACCATGTTATCATATCTAGGAAACATTTAAAATTTTCTAATCTTTTTGAATCTAGTTTCGAAATTTTGATTAGCCTCATATTTTAGGAGTTATGAGTCAACCTTTGGAAGATATGAAAATAAAGTTTGAACGAAGAAAATTGTAACTAACAAATCTGTAGACAGAGGATGCAACCGTATTCCATTTTTAGTGATTTCTGTGATGTTTTTCAACAATTATTTGTACCAGTTGCTTATTTCTGACATGGAAATACCGATTTTGTTTAAGTCTGGTTTCCTTTCGTTTGATACTATCATGTTTTGAATTTTTGTTGGATCAGTACCAAGAGACAACAGGTTCTTCTCAGCAAATGATGTCTGCTTTCACATGTGTTGCCGTTGCGATTTTTTTCACTAAACGATGAGCGAGATCGTGCTCTACAAAATGCGTCAAGGACTAAAATTCTCGTAGTAATCGTTCAGAAATTACCGACTGTCTTTTGTGAGTCTGAAAGTCAAGGAATTACAAACATGCTACTGTATCTCTTGTGAAAACTTTCATTGTTGGCAAATATTATACGGAAAACTAATCATTAAGATATTATTTCATTAAAAAATGTTTATGTTTTCTTTTGATGTATATAACATTAGTTTTACTTCTATCCTGTACGTTTTTTGCACTGTGAAATCCTATTTTTAGACATTCCATAAATTCTCTCATAACTCTTTTTAAATATGAGTCTATTAAAAAAAATCTGAAGCTAGATTCGAAGTGAGCACAAAATCATAACTTATAACCAATGATTCATAGATACACTGTTGGCCATCTTAATTGTTTCAAAAATGAAAGAATATTTGTTCTCAAAAATTTCAGCTCATCCATCACATGAAATAAGTCGTCATATTTCAGCGAAGAATATTCATAAAACATTTTTCAAATAATTTGTCCATCTCTGTTCCTAAGACTAGTACATATTTTAATATTAAGTTCATAACTTGTTATCGTTAAATTCTGTATCTGCATAAGTATGATATATTATCGATTGTTCAATTCACATTCTAAATCCAGTCATGGTAAATCAGAACTTCAGTAATTTCACAAAATTCTAAACATAAGCAAAATAGTATATTGAAATCGATGCTTGAGTTTATTAGAGCATCACATGAAAATTAGTATGTAATTATGAACAATACTATTTACTCTTTATGATATCGTATACTTAAAAATTCTGTTTGAAAAAATTTATATTTGGTTTTTATTTTTGAAAGATGATAATCGCGGTGGATTTTCAAAAGGGAACGCAGATGCTATTTATCGACAACGTCGTTTGCTCAATGAATTTTCACCTGATCTTCTATTAGTTTTAAGTGCTGATCATGTTTACAAACTTGATTATCGTGATGTCATCGATTTTCATAAAGAACATCAAGCTGATGTAACTATAGTTACAACAAAAGTACCAGAAGGAGATTCACTTTCACGTTTTGGAGTTGTTCAAGTTAATGATGAAGGTCGTGTTACCAATTTTGAATATAAACCACAACAACCAAAATCTGATCTTGTAACAACTGAAGTATTTGTTTATAATTTTCCTAAATTAATGAATACACTTAATCAATTAGCTAATAATAGAGAATTAAAAGATTATGGTGAAGATTTACTACCAAAATTAGTTCAAGAAGGAAATGTTTGGGAATTTCGTTTGAATAGTTATTGGAGAGATGTTGGTATTCCAGAAAGTTACTGGCAAGCAAATATGGATTTACTTTCACCAAACGTAGAATTACATTTAAATGATCCTAAATGGCCTATTTTTACACATAGTGCAGTAAGAAAATCATCTTTTTAGAATATATTTCTTATTGATAATCTACTATACTATTTAAGCAATGCTTACCAACACAAATACTTGATTCAGCTCATTTTGAAAATAGTCTTATTTCACCTGGTTGTATAATTGGTGGAACCATTATTCGATCAATTTTGGGACCAGGTTGTGTGGTCCATGAAGGAGCAACTATACGTGATTCAATTCTTCTTAATGAAGTTCATGTAGAAGAAGGTGCAGTAATTGTACGATCAATTATCGATGAAAAAGCTGTTATTGGTAAACGAGCCACAATTGGTCTGGGAGAAAAAAAAGAATTGACTATGATTGGTACAAAGATTAAAATTTTACAAGGTTCAAATATAGCAGCGGGCGAAAAAATTCATCCTGAAGAACCAAAAGATTAAATTGTATTTTGTTTAATATTGTTCTTTGTTTTATATTATTAGATTCCTTTCTTTATTGTATTCAAGCAATGTCTTATATATTAAAGGCAACAGTTTTATATCAAATATTCTTTGTTGAACGCATAAAATTTCATTTTGTATCTTTTTAACTTCAATTACAAAGCAACATTTCACGAATAACAAATGTTTATTCATTTGAATCATTTATTTTCTATAAAATAATATCGATTGTATTTTTCCTTCAATAATAGAATATTGAAAGATGTCCATTCATAAACAATATTTATGACTTTATATTATTCTGTTTTGTGGTCAATATTAGGGCAATAATAACCAATAGAAATTAGCATCTCTCGCTATTAAAAACAATTATTAATAAACAAAAACAAATGTAATTTCTTTTTTGCATTAAAGTTGAACAAGATTTTAAGAGATAATAGTACATATCGATACCGATGGTGAAAGATATTTATTATCTGTAAGAAAACCAGATATGACGTGTTTTGTCAATTTGAAGCATCAATATAACCTAACCAGTGTGACACTAAGACATTGTTGGGAACACAGCAATCAATAACAATTAAACAACCATTCTTGAACAAAATAGAGACATTAAAATAGTCGACCTATGATAGAAACCTTGCAGTGTGAAAAAATAGTATGGACACTGATGAGTAATTTTCGAAATGTTTCTTTCCAAAATACTACAATGAAAAACTATCTACACGCTTCATCTGGCTTATCATGTCTTGCCAAACAAGCTGGATATATTGGAATATAAGATAGTTCAGACTGCACCAATACTTAATTACATTTGTCAGATATTCCTCAAACTTTATTGCAATTAGCTCGCCTTTGAAATTTATCACATTTGTTATAAAACTGTGAGAAAGAGTTTAATTGTTGAGCAAACTTTTCACAATCGATCTCGAAAATATATAGAGATACTTCATATTGATCATGATTATTGATTTATTTTTGATAAGATAGATTTCTTTTAATCAAAAGTGTTTGATTATAGAAGATGACGATTGTTATTAGTTCGGATATTGTTTATGCATTTGGTGTTAATAGATTTATCGTTTAGAAATCTCTGATTCAAATTTGCATCATGTCTGGTGTGGTTGTGGGTGCGGGTGTCGATGTAGGTGTTCTATACATGTACACCCGCACCCTGTTCGGTGAAAAATGATTTTAAACTTTTGTAAATATCTTTTTCTGGTCGAAAAAACCAAAAACTTAGACGAAGTCATCTATCATTGATAGTGGAGAGAGAAATAGATTCTATTCGTATGTTCACATATTGTTTTTGTAAATGATCTACCAAGGTTATTTTGTAAATGATAAAACCAAATATTTTTCCTCATCTCATTCATTGAACCACTAGTCATAAAAATATGCATCGTTTTTCTTTTCTTTGTCTAGAAATCATTTTTGCTTAATTATGCGATAAATAGCTAAGATTCTATCCGTGTTTCTCCGTTTTCTTCATCAAAACAAAGCTTTCATGTAATACAATTATCATATTCGGAAATAGCCTAGAAAACTACATCAGCTAACCATCTCCGTTGACTTCGGGTTTTTTTCCAGTTTTCATCTGCAGCCATAATTGAATTATTATCAAAGAATGCAGGATAATGAAAATTTTGAAATGAAAAATTAGTCAATGCAATTTTTTATGCTGATTCTAATTACGATACTCTTATTGCATCGAAGCTTCGTTTCAATGAAACAAATAGAAAAATACAGGCTGAACTTTAACTATTCTGTTCAAAATTTAGCAAAAATGATTATATTTAACAAAGAAAAGAAAGAAAAAGTGATGCATACTTTTATAATTGATGGTACAACATATATCAAATGAGATAGAAGTTTTGGTTTGATCACTTACAAATAGAAGTTATTTCGATCGCTACTATCAATAGAGTTTTAGGATCAGATTCGATTTAATACTGGTTATATACTAAGTTCGCAGTACTGAATTTGAAAATAGAAAAAAAAAACTTCTTTCTTACCACCTACAAAGGATATTTACAAAAATGAAAATCACTTTTCTTGAACAATAAATCGAGGTCTATTAAACGATGTAAATAACAGAAAATAGATTCAAACAAAATCAATCTATTCGTTTTGTGCATGATCTAACTGTAAAAATAAAAATAAAAAAGTTCATTATCGATCAGTGGTCAACGTAGAAGAAAAAAAGAAGCTATTGTTATAAAACAATACTCATTTTCACTTTGACAATCAAAAGATCTAAATAAACGAACAAAATATATTTATTTTTATATCATAATACTTACTATTGAAATTTGTTGGAAAATCGTCGATTTTTTCAAGGATTACAATCAATCACCAAAAGTGACATGATTTTAATAACATGGGGAGGTTCTTTGATTCATTTATCTCTTCTTCTTATATGAATAACAAAATATCTAGATAAGTTTATAATCGTAGATGTTTCTTTAGACATTGATTTTCCATAAATAATGTGCAACTCGACCTTTCATTTCAATTATTTGTACTTTTCAAGTTGAAAGATAAAATTTATGTACTTGTGTTCTCACATGAGTTGTTTTCAAATAATCAATTCGATCATTCTTACGATTATTTTGAACGAGAAATTGATGATTCAATTGAATATGAGATTTTTTTTTTGTATTATAAATTAAATGTCTAATTCCATTTTTGATTATCAATTAAAAAGTGTCACTTAGTTTCTAGAATGTTGACAAATGCTAGCAAGCAACAATCGATTAATTTCACTATAGAATCTTGCGCTACCTTAAATTATATAGATAAATGTACGGTCTTTTTTTAAGGTCGACATTTAGTCTATAGACGTATTATTAAATAAACAAGAATATTTTTCCTCTGGCAATGACTGAAAAGATATGTATATAGAGTATTGATTCGATTTTGTTCATAAAAGAATAAGAATTCTGTACTTCGAACATGTTTCATAGCTTATTGAAGAGAATATTAAGTTAACATAATCTTTTGTCAATATTGAATCTTTTTCGCTTTTGTTATTAGATACTTACTTTCATCTAACTCGTTACAGTTCTTTACATAGTAATACATTCAATATTTAGACATTCAGCTTAATGATGTTTCTACCCGTCAGCTATATTCAAAAATCAATTTTAAATAACACATATTCACTTCTGACCAAATATATGACCTATTTCCAATTTAAAGATCAACAATTGAACAATGGTTTTCTATTAAGATGTTAAATTTACTTCCATTGTTTCAGTAGAATTCTGTCGATCTTGTCTATCTTAAAAACCATATTAGAAATTTATTTGTACTTTCATAGGAATATATTATCATCGTTTTTTTTTCTTTTGGTTGTAATCAAAATTAAGCAATCTATCTATGCTTGCATCAGACATACGCATAAGTCATTCTAAGATAAAAGTGGTGCAATAATAGTCATATTAAATGATCTTTATTATTGATCTTTATGAAATAATTAGAGTTGTTTTGAATTAGTTTCATTAAAATTCAAAAAATTGAACCAGCAATGAGTTTAGAATTATTGTCAAATGAATTGTTACTCGATATATTTGAATATACTCGTTCAATTGAACTTACTTACTCTCTCTATGGTCTTGGTTTTCGATCAACATCAAAACAAGATTTTGATATCTTTTTCTCAATTACATCTTCAATCAATTAAACATCGAATTTTTTCACTTCGACTTTCAACTAATGATGATATTAGCTCGTGTGTATTAGTGTTTGAAAATCAAAACAATGATCAAAATTTATTGAATTCATTTCTAAGTCGATTTTGGCTTGAAGAACATCGATGATTTGTTTAATATTATTTTAATTTAAACGATTCCCATGAATTTATTCGTATGTATACATTACCCTACCGTTTTACCAATTTCTATACTTTTTTTTTCCAAATCAACTTGTTCGCTACTTCTTACTCATTGTCAAACACTTCTTATCAAAGTTAAATAACGAACAACTTTACGTACTATGGTCAATGTAATGCCTAATCTTCGCGCATTAGTTCATATATGGAGTCATCGATAAATATACTATAAATAAAAAAAAAGACATTTAGAAATGTTTCTTAAGAAGAACTATGAAATAAAACAAAAAAGAAAATTACAGAATCTTTTTCAATGGGATCTCTCTAATGAATTCTAAATAAATGATATTCAATCAAGTGAATTAGAAGATAATTCTTTTAAAAAAATATTAATTTCCATATCAATGAGAAAAAACCTAAGCAGTTCACAAAATATTTATACATTTACCCGCATCCTCATCGAGTGCTTTAGTCCTTCGATTTCTCTGTGATGTTCTTTTAAATATCATTTTTCCTAACGATGAATAATATAATATTCATTGAACCATCTATGACTACTTGAGCGATAAAAAATTTCCATATATATGATCAAATACGTGAATAACCTGTATTTTTCTTTTAATATCGATCTATTGGACACGTAATAATTATAATCATTTGATATAAACAATCATTGTTGTTCGATGATATCATTAACAATACAAACACCTTCATAATAAACAAAAAAACTCTGATTAGATCAACACTTATATTGTTTGAGCCGTTTCAATAACTACAATAATAACATCATCTATTTTTTATCATTATCAAACTATAAAATAATCATTCAAATTGAAAAAAAATATTTCATTATAATAGACTGTGAGGTTATTATCCAACTATCAGAAATTTATGATATTTCATTTGATCAATATCTTTGTGATCAAGCTACACGAGAAATAGAAAATTCAACTGAACTACTATTCAATGAATTAGAATATGAGTGTGGATATAGAGGATAATGGTGAATTAATAGATGATTGTAGGTAAAAAGAAGACTCCCTATCGACCAACACATCCGTTCTGTGAAACATTGATATCTTGAGCATCTATCTGACTTCGTTATGTCTTGCGTACAGGAAATCTATTATCGGTATAACTCTTTTCCAGTTCCATCATAGAGTAATCT